ATGTTTTTTATTTCAAGGATGCCAGGTGTTGTTCTTGCAGTTTAAAACCTCCTTCAAACACTCTTATTATAAGTGTGCATATACAGGCTTATCTCTTGTTGTAGCATGCATGAGGAGGTTTTATCTTTTGTGCCATTAATCTTCCAAGATCTAATCCTAATCATGTTTTAAATGCAAGGATTTATCTTTTCCCTGCTCCCCCCCCCAAACAAAAAAACAAAAAACCCCAAACCAACAAAAACCTGAGGCTTTCAAAAGAGGGTCATTTATCACATGGGTGAAGATGGAATGTTCAAACAGCGCAAACGTAGAAACTGTCGACTCTCCTGAGGCCGAAAAAACAATAGTTTGAAGATATTTGATTTCTCTCTTGCACTCTTTGTTCTACGTGTCCTTTTACAGTATTTGCTGAAGTGAGCTAAAGCTCACGAAAGCTTGTACTCTGTCTGTCTGTCTGTCATCTACTTTGATTAGCCTAAAGGTGCAAATCGACCCTGCCTTTTACTTGACCTGAAAAATGCTTCCTGCAAAACTTTCAGAATTTCCTGGATCGCTGTTCGGAAGGGACACGTTCTGTTTCTTTGCTGAACATGATGGGGAAGATGACTTGGGAAAACAGAATGTAACTTTCCGGAGATTAAATCACTAAACTGTACTAGGTGTTAATAAAACCTGTGGTCAGTGATATTGAAACTTCTGACCAATTTATATCAACAGGTGACTTATGATAAAAGGTTGAATGATTGTTTGTTGGAGGAAAGCTAACAGTCTCCAAGAGAGGTCTTAACAGTCCAACATAGGACCAAATGCTCCTTCTCTTGCACTTACAAATAACGGGAGACAGAGATCAGGCTAGGGCTGAGTCATGGCTAGTACATACATTCAATTTTGATAAAAGTCCAGTTTTTGTGGTGTGGATTTAGCAGTTTGTTAGGCGATGCTTATACTAGCATCTTCTTCTGTTTGCGATGCTATTCTGGACTTCCCATCACAGTGTATAACAGCAGAGTTTCCTGATTTTTGTGATGAAAACCTTGTTCATGAAATCAAAACTGTTTTCGAGCGGCAAATTGTGGGTGTATGTTGATTAACTTGCATAAAAATCCACACAAAAATGTACTGTTAATGTATAGATGGACCTTTCACTTCCATCTGGTATTAATACTTGAAGGGTGGGGGGAAGGAAAAACAAATTAAATGTCAAAGTAGACTATTAACAAAGCATACCTTGAACTATATTTCCCTTTGTGGACACATTTTGAGAGATTTGTTGCTTTGAGGTTGTTGTGAGTAATTTTTTTGGCACTTTGTTTAAAAAAGACTGTAAGCATGTGAAATCCTATTGTAGACCAGAGTGCAAAGAAACTTTTGTTTTAAAATACTTTTTTTCCTCAGAGGAAAAATGTAAACTAAAACAGTGATGTGACTGGCCCTATTGACTTGAGTGAAACTTTTGATTTGAATGAACGTGTGAAAGCTTGACAGATTACATCTACAGGCTCTCGTCCCATCTCTGCCCTTTGAAAGTTATTTAAAAAAAACAAAACCGGTCATTCAGATGACATCTGCTCAACTTTCTCATTTTATCAGTTTGATTTAACAAAAAGCCGAAGCAGAAGGAAAACTGTTACTCAAGGATTTTTAGACCTGTGCTATCAGATTCCTCATCTGCAGTGGACATGATGAATGTCTGGGAGCTGGAGCAGCTGGGTGCTGTCTCTTTTGAGCTACAGGTCTTTTCTGCTGTATGCTCCTCAAGTCTGGTGTTTACAATGAGTAGGGAAAAGGCCTTTTTGTTCTCAGGATTCTCCCCTCCCTCCTTGTCTCTAGGATAGACACATTGTGAGCTCTTTATCAATTCTGTGACTGGAAAATTATGTTTTTATGCAGGTATTTCGCAGCATCAAATTTCCTACCCTTTGAAATCCTGCAGAGCTTACTGATGATATGTTAATTTGTGTTTAAAGCAGCCATCGTTTAACGAAGAGAGTGGAAGGAGGGGGGAGAGCAAGCAGTCATTGTTGTATGATTCCCATTTCCGACTTCCATGATCCATGCTGCCCTTCTTGTTCGCTTGTGCTCCCTTGTGCGCTTGCTGTCACACACACTCGCAGTCTGTATATGACACATTAGGTCTGACTTCTGCATTCACTTCCCTGCCTCTTTTGTGTCACAAAACAGGTGTCACTAGCTATTTCATAGATTTCATAGACATTGGGGCTGGAAGGGAC